ACTTACTTTCTGGGATATTACTACTGAAGAGTGATGTTTTCAAGCATACTGACGGATAATGTTTCTGTGTTTTTACCATGAAAGGACTTAGGTTGCGGTCTACACTATATATCAGAAGAAAGCTTTTTCAAACGCTACAAAATGGCTGGTAATTCATTTCTAGTTGAAAGTGCGAACGCTCATTTTTTCGGATATTACTACTGCAAAGTGATGTTTTGGTCATCGACGGATAGGCTCGATCCATTTAAACCTACCACCATTTACATCGACGTTTGGCGTCAGTGACGAGACCTGCCTCATGTTATTGAGCTCAGTAAGCTGAACCGAATGGTGAAAGCCGCAAGTGTCTATGCTTGTGAGAAAAAAAGTTATAGCCAGTTTACCCTCGCAGCGGAAAAATGCATTTTCTAGCGGACTTGTAGAACGCGTGCTGACCACATTCCGTAACGTAGAACCTTGAAGTTGGTATCAAATGAAAGAGCGCGTCGAGTTCTATATATTTCGATGAAGAAATGCTATGCTAGGTCTAGGGGTCTTGGGTTACAGATTTCTGAAAAACTCGGTTTTCCGGAAAACCTAGTGGCCTTGAAATTTCTTCCAGAAGTTTTTCAACCATATCATTAGATAGCCCCTTCACTTTTCCACCAAATGAGATCTTGGCCACGTTTCTACGATCTTGAAAGACCGAGTTACAGGGTGTTTAACACTACGAATATAAACTCATTTGGTTTAATGCCGAATTTTCGACCTATATCGTCTTTTCTATGGCACTCCGACACAACATCGCAGAAACCTGGGCAACATCTCATTTTATGGAGAATTAAAGGGGCTATCTAATGCTACGGTTGAAAAACTTCTAGAAGAGATTTCAAGGCCACTAGGTTTTTTAGAAAACCGAGTTTTCAGAAATCTCTAACTCAAGACCCCTAGACCTAGCATAGCGTTTCTTCATCGAAATATATAGAACTCGACGCGCTCTTTCATTTGATACCAACTTCAAGGTTCTACGTTACGGAATGTGGTCCGCACGCGTTCTACAAGTCCGCTAGAAAATGCATTTTTCCGCTGCGAGGGTAAAATGGCTATAATGTTTTTTCTAGCAAGGCTAGAGACTTGCGGTTTTCACCATTCGGTTCAGCTTTCTGAGCTCTATAATATGAGACAGGTCTCGTCACTGACGTCAAAGGTCTATGTAAATAGTGGTAGGTTTTATATGGATCGACCCTATCCGTCGATGCCGAAACATCACTCTGCAGTAGTAATATCCGAAAAAATGAGCGTTCGCACTTTAAACTAGAAATGAATTACCAGCCATTTTGTAGAGTTTTGAAAGAGCATTCTTTTGATATATAAGGTAGATCGCAACGTAGGTTCTTTCATGGTAAAAGCAATAGAAATACTATCGTTGGCTATGCTGAAAAGACCGCCTTTTAACAGTAGTATCCAAAAATGTCGGTGTTCGCAGTATCGATTAGAAAGGAATTACAAAGCATTTTGTAGAATTTTGAAAGAGCTTTCTTCTGATATATAGTGTAGACCGCAACCTAAGTCCTTTCATGGTAAAAACACAGAAACATTATCCGTCAGTATGCTTGAAAACATCACTCTTCAGTAGTAATATCCCAAAAAGTAAGTGTTCGCACTTCCAACTAGAAATGAGTTACCCACCATTCTGTAGAGTTTCGAAAGAGCTTTCTTCCGATATATAATGTAGACCGCAACCTGGATTCTTTCATGGTGAAAAAGTTGAAATGTTATCGTGGACTATCCTGAACAGGTCATTTTTAGCAGTAATATTACAAAAACATGGGTGTTCGCAGTATACATAACAATTAAGCAATAGATAGTTTTGTTCGCCGTTTAAAGCTACATCGAATGGTATATAAGACGTTCCTTCAAACTTGTTGTGTTCTGAGAAAATTACGAAAAACGTCTCAGAGTGGGCTCACGGAGCTACTCTTCAAAATTGATCGATTTTCTGACAGATATGAGGTCCGAAGGGGAACCAAGGGTGTAGAACCCCATAAAATTGTATGCTCTTTTCATACTAGATACCTTTCGAGAAGATCTGAAATGGGGCCGATCCTCGTTCTTATTGCACCCTGTCCTTTATAACCAAAAACAAAAATAGATGGCGTGACAGAATTTTAAAACATGGACTTTTGTCTTTTTCAGCCGTCTCTTATTGCATAAATGAGTATTAGGAAATGTTTTATAGGAAAGTTGTGGTTTAAGAGGTATTCTTTGTTTCTGATCGCTTGGAACACATCAGAAGAGCGAAAATATATATTATGAGACAACAGAATTTCACCATTCTGTTGTTTCCAATGCGAGAGGTTTATTGTCTGACAATGCAGGTAAGTTTAGCAGAATCCTTTACCTCTCCATCAATATTCTGGACAGCTATAAACCGAGTAAGACAAGGTAATTCAAGTCTTCCTGCCACCTTGTCCAGCAGAACAGACACAGCTTCAACAGATTACAGGAAAAGGCAGACTTATTTAGCAAATATTTCTCCACAGTTATTGTTCCCACAGCTGGACCTATGCCTATTCCGCTATCAAATTTCGCTCCGGCATTAGTACTGAACCTTATATGTCCAACTGTTGAGCAAATAACCGATGCCATCAATAGCCAACGCGAAAATATTGCATGCGGCCCAGACGAAATCCCGGCGGCTGTATTAAAACGAAACGTCAGTATCATTTCAATACAGCTGCACCATATTTTTAAATTATCCAAAGAAACAAGAGAATTTCCTGATAAATGGAAAGTTGCTACAGTCAATCCGACTTATAAAAAGGGTCCTAAAAATATTGTGTCTAATTATAGACCAATATCTCTCCTTAGTATCGCTAGTAAATTTCTTGAAAGGTTCGTTTATAATCAACTTTCTAACCATCTTAATTCAAACAATTTTTTTTCAGATAACCAGTTTGGTTTTAGGCCCAAGACCGCAACCATTGATGCACTTCTTTACCTATTAAATAACTTGACAAAGAACCTAAATACACAACCACCAGTAGATACCATCTTGGTCGCATTTCATTTAGTAAAAGCCTTTGATAAGTTCTCGTTTCAAATTATTCTATCGCGTTTAGCGCTGTTAGGTTTGTCATCGAATGTGCTAAAATGGTTTACTAGTTATTTAACTAACCGCTTTCAGCAAGTACGTGTTGGCGCTGCTTTATCTACGCCTACGCCAGTGCTCTCCGGGGTAGTACAAGGTTCAGTTCTTGGTGCCTTACTTTTCCTTATTTTCATAAATGAACTACCAACTGTAGTCCAATTACCAGCAGACAGCATACTTTTCGCTGATGACTGTACACTCTACTGTCCAATGGCCTCGTCTGATATGCCAGCTGTATGTCAAGAGAATATTGAGAAAGTATGTAACTGGTGTACCTCAAATCTGATGTCTTTAAACGCAAATAAGTGTGCCTGGATGTTTGTCTCTAATATACCAAGTAGAGCTAATAATTTACAGTTCACATTGGGTGATAGTACAACCATAGCACACGAACCTTCCCTTATACTCTTAGGTCTTAAAGTCAGCTCTAATCTGAGATGGCGCGAACATATTGAAGATGTCGTACTAAATTGTAGAAAACGACTAGGCGCTATGTACAGACAATTTAAAGCGATTGGAACTCTCTCCCCAGCACTGTAGTTATCTCGCCAACAATAAAATCTTTCAAAACCAAACTGAGGCAGCACCTACAACTGTGAAAGGGAAAAAAAATAGGATAAAAAGGTGGCAAGTTCTATAGGTGTTTAAAACCTTTTTTGCTTTCCTGACAACATGTTTATGTGTTAGTTAAATTTTTTTTTTTATTGTAATACTAAAGTTTTACTCTTTTTTCTCAAAACTGTTGTTGTCGAAATAAAAACAAACAAACAAAAAATTTTTAGACTTATGCCTTGTGATTGTTCAGAACTGTATTTTTTTTTGCATTTTCTAATAAATCTCTCTTTCCTGTCTCGTTTCAGATAAATGAATACGTGCTTGATGATCGGCGCATGGAAAACTGCATATATTGTACATACACACACAAACACGGCTCTCTTGCTAGTATTTCCTATCTGTCTTCTTTCTATTGTCTCTTATCTGTCTAAGCTTTCCTTTTTTGTAACTAAACAATCAAGTTTCCGTCCTAAGCATTGTATTCTTGATGCTTTGTTGTTCTTATCTTTTTAACTGTTTCTAAGTTTTGGAATGTTGATGTGAAGTGTGTCCGTATGCCGCTTGATTTCTGTAAAGCTTTTAATACTGTTTCCCATTTTTTTTGTCTGGAAAAGCTATCTCTGTATGGTGTAAGTGATCCTTTGTTTTCTCTTTTGTCCTCTTAGCTCTTCAACCGTTCTTAGTGTGTTCGTGTGAATGATTTCTCTATCCTCTTTCTCCTATTCGTTCTAATGTACAACATGCTGGTGTACTTAGATCTCTTTTATTTCTTATTTTGATTACTGATCTTCCTCTTTCTGTTCCACCTAATTGTAAGATCTGTCTCTTTGCTGATGATGTTTTTTAATTGTTCTTCGCTCTTCTTCTAATTCTTCCAATTTTCCTCATTTTAAAAACTGCACTAACTTTGTATCAAACTGGTCCTCCTCTAACCTCATATCTTCAAATGTATTTAAATGTTCTTATAAACTTCCTTTTTCTTTCGGTCTTTTTCTCTTCGTTTATAACCAATTGTATCTAAATAATGTGGCTATCTCTGCTGTTTTTTCATGGAACGAATTCCAGAGATTCCAGAGCGAACATACTCGCCGTACATTGATAGGACTGAGTTGTGCCTTTGCATTAGCTCCGCCAGAAGCTCGGCGTCAAATTTCTCTTTCTTGTACCGACTGGAATAATGTTCCAGAATCGGTCATTTCTTGTTCGTCTTTCTTGTCTTTCAAAAGCCCTCTTTTCAAGTTTCTCTTTTCTAACTGTTGAAAGTTAGCCATGGTCCAGTATTATTGGTTTATTTATTTAGTTATGTCCTTTTAATTTACCTGCTCTTTTACTTCGTTCTTAAGTCCATCTCTTACTGTTATCTGGTTTATTTGTTTGACGATGATCGTCATGTTAAAGGTCGAGGGATTTTGGTGCTTGGACCAGTTTTATTTCTTAACGATCTTCCTCTTTCTGTTCCACCTAATTGTGAAATCTGCTTCTTTGCGATCAAAGTCAACGATGTGTATGTGCATGTAAATGCACAGAGAAGAGTCTCTTGATTTTTGATCGAGTCCTTTGCAGGTTTCACTGTGAAAGTATTGAATTCTTCTTACATTCTTTCTTACACAGCTTTAACTCAAAACATCAAAGATGACGTTTGTATGTCTGTTTCTTTTTGATCTTGGTTTATTTCGTTCCAATTTAGTTTATGTACACACTCATAATCTATGTAGATAGAACATCTCTTGAACTAAAAGAATAAACTTTATATTTTCTCGAAATGTTCAATGATTATATAGACACACAAGATACTGCTGAGTGTTGTGCAGATTAATTTAAAGCTAAACTGGAACGAAATAAACCAAGCTCAAAAAGAAACAGACATACAAACGTCGTCTTTGATGTTTTGACTCAAAGCTGTGTAAGAAAGAATGTAAGAAGAATTCAATACTTTCACAGTGAAACCTGCAAAGGACTCGATCAAAAATCAACAGACTCTTCTCTGTGCAATTACATGCACATATACATCGTTGCCTTCGATCGCAAAGAAGCAGATTTCACAATTAGGTGGAACAGAAACAGGAAGATCATTAAGAAATAAAACTGGTGCAAGCACCAACATCCCTCGACCTTTAACATGACGATCATCGTCAAACAAATAAACCAGATAACAGCAAGAGATGGACTTAAGAACGAAGTAAAAGAGCAGCTAAATAAAAATAATTTTCCGCAACTATCAGTTCAGTGTTTATTCATCATTGGTTAAAACTTCGCTTTTAAAAGCAGCAGTCTGTTTTTCTCCTTCTTCCTCGTTCGCTGCTATTTAATGACATAAGATTTAGAAAAGGGAAGTAAAATAAACGATTCCAAAAAAATGGAGAACTTACTGCCCAGTGGTAATATCGTGCAGCTTGTACGGAAATGGAGCAACATTGCCTTCCTCGCTGATATATACCGATAAAATATTAAATCGCTTGAACAAAATGCCGATTATGAATTGCTCGGATGAAGAAAGTAGTCGAGCGTCGATTACAATGTTTTCGAATTTTTGCTGAGAGTGGAAATGTTTGCTCAGCGAGTGATATAAACCTAACATTGAACGTTCAATATCACTCAATATGAGCATGTTCGACAATGCTGCTTTCGAAAGTTCGCTGTAGAATATACGATCCTGGAGCAGGATTTGCATCGGCTTAGCTGTAGCGCTCATGGCAAACGAAGATGAACGATTTTTGATTCGTTCACGAATAAATTCAATAGCACCTCTTAAATTGAATCGATTCGTTGCTTTTAATAGTTCACTTGTTAGGAGACTAATTTGACGTTGTCGATCAGCATCGATAATGAGAAATTCACGTTGCATCGTCAACGTATCAATTCGATGAGAATCGGCTAGTGTCATGATGTAACTCATTGCTTGAGTATTAAATGCCAGACACATCGACGAAATATATTCGACAAGTAAATGCCCGTGTTGTTCAAGCGAGACCGGGAATTTTGGTGGTACAAAATTGAATGGTGGATGAGATGTAGGAACCAATGAATGCGATCGGATTATAGATGATACGAGTGACGGCGACATGCGTTGAAAATATGATCGAAATAATGAATACATAATAATAAAAATTATCTACAAAGAGTACTCATTGCAGTCGAATGAAGAAGAATATTTGTATGTACGTTCGTTTGGGGGATGCATAAAAAACTGGAAAAAAGAAGGAAAAAATGCATTGTCTATATATAAACTTCAAAATTTTACCACTGTAAACTTCGGCAAAAAAATAATGGGGCGTGCAAGAATAGAAAGGGATTATTTTGCGGACGAAGAGATTTGCATGTTTCTTTTTATTTTTAGAATAGAAAATGATGAAAATGGAAGCAATAATAATGGAACCAAAAATTTTTATCTTGATTTCAAAATATAATAAATCAGTTTTACAGTGAAATACATTCATGGCGTCGACATTTGGCTTTCTGTAGTAGATTGTGAGATTCCTTATTTTCGTATACTAAGTGTATGTGCGAATCAGAAAATTTAACTCCCCAGAATTCCATTTGTTTTATCATCATGTTTCTTATATTGTAATGTGATTCAAATAACTTATACCACCAACGAAGCGGTGTCAACAATAAATGCATATTCTCATGTTTATATGTACCGTAACATGATGTGACAAATCCGTCTACAATAATAGTGCCTTCGTATGTTACAGGTGCATAAGCATCATAAAGCTCAATGGTTTCTATTTTAGTTACACGGACTTTTTTTACTTTAGATGAATTTCTTTCAGCCAAATACAGTTCATCACCAATTTCTACTTCTGATGCAAAACGATATTTTTCAGCACTGTCACCAAGCTTTTTAACTAATAATGAATGTAATCGTGTAATACGTAATGGTTCTTTTGCCGCCATTATTGTTGTTGTTGATGATGATGTATATCATTTGAGATAAGTGACTGCTTTTTTCTCACTATATTTTTGATGAAGAAACAATGCAATAATTGGACTAAATTTTGTTGTTGATGTTTTATCATCATAAACTAAAACTGAATCACCAATATTCACCTTACGTATGACGGTAATTTCGCCATTTTCTTTTTTAACAATTGCGTTACCATCAAAACAAGCCTGAGGACAATTACTCTGAACACCAAGTCCAGAAACCATGCTACAAGTAGAATAAATACGTGTACTACAACCACTGGAACAGCTATCGCGTGAGCATTCAGATCCAGTATCATATGTAATTTCATTACTAATACAGCCACTTGCAATATTGTATGCACAGCAGCATGTGCATTTCGTACCAACCAAGTATAGGCGCATTAGACCAAAGATTAATATTATTTTCACCAAAACTGAACTTTTCATTTACCTAAACGACGAGGAAATTAAACAGATGCCATTCAGCTATTAACCTGATTCATTTAATGATCTTATTGTACCGAAATACACGTGTTTTCATGAACAAGTTCTAGGCTTTTCGAAAAGATGCACCAAATCAAATTTTATAAAACATGACGCCTAAGGGTTTCAAACGATGTTCTTTCGAGTGGTCCATTCAAAAAAATTTATCCTTCAGCAAGTAGGACTTCTAGAAAACTATGGCTTTTTAGGTACCTTTTTCAATAAAGGCGTTTTCCTGACCACATTTTTAAGTGTAAAGTTTTCTCAATAATTAGTGCTCCCTTTTACGACTTTTAAAAGTTTTAACATTTTAAAATTTTTTAAATTTAAAGTTCTCATTGCTGATTATACTTTATAACAACTTTAAATACAAGAATAGAAAGGGCGTGAAAAGCTAAATAAACGTAGGGGTTAAGAGATTTGCATCAAGAAAGCATATGTGGTGTTTTCAGCGGTTTTCTGAAGATCCATAAAAATGTTGAGCATTTTAAGCGAATTTCACTTGACTGAAGAATGATGGAAATCTAAATAATACAGTTGTGCTAGAAGCACATCTATAGCAATTTGTGAACCAAGCCTATTAAATAATTGAGTTAGAGGTCTGGGATCATGGAGATATATTTTCAACAAGTTAAACGAGGCACCGAAAGTCCGAATTCTGCTCGTGCTTCTCAGTTTTCGTCATCAGAACTCATTTTTTATGCAATACATATGCCATATTCGGAGTCAGCGTCAAAAACTAAGCCAAATGATATATATTTCTAAATGGTTTGGTGATGTTCATTTTTTGACGAAAATCTCAGTAACTTTTCGATGTGAAAATTCAAAAAATACAGAAGTAGTCAGGTAGGATAAGAAAGTTGCACCATTCGACTTCGTTTCTGACGCTGACTCCGAATATGGCATATGTGGTATATTTGAAAAAACTTTCATTCACATTTTCTATCCAAAATGAATTATTCATGCCAATCTGGCGTCAAACACGTTGGTAATTTATTTTTGCAACAAAATACATTTCAGAGCTCCGAAAAATACACAAAACTACATAAAATTGAATTCTCTGTCGATCTACATCGAAATTAAAACATTTTGAAGACGGACCGGTTTTTACAGGTTTCTGGACTCCGTCCTTTCTTTGAATAATGTAATAGATACTTACTTTTAATTTTATTGTTTTCAATAAAATAAGAGTTAGAAAATCTCTGTCGTGTGCTTCATTTTATACAAAATTCGTATATTTATACAAAAGCGTTCGCTGAATGAAATGTAAGTGTTGTTTACTTTTCTTGTTGAAATACGAATATTTGAATGCATAAATACAAGAGAAAAAAGAGAAACTCCTTTGTGTTGCATGAATGTTTTCTACGAAATTGTTACATATTTTTGTTATTATCAAGTACAAACTGGAAAAATATAATAAATACAATCGAAAGAAAAATGTAACAATCACTTCCTTCTTGTCGAAAGAAGCAAAGCGTATTCGTGGAATTTTTTTATTTGTTCTTGGAACAACACAATATAAAACAGAGCATCACGATGATGATGACTATGATTTTGTTATAGCAACGCTGATGTTTGTTTTTTGTAAAGAATATATGCAGAATATCCTCGTTTCTTATTAACATAATTTCGTAGAAAAAATTCATGCAATACAAAGAAGTTTCTATTTTGAAAGCAATTTCTATGAACTGGCCGTGCTGTAAAACGTTGTATACCATATTCGAAGTCAGCGTCAGTAACGAAGTCGAATGGTGCAACTTTCTTATTCTACCTGACTACTTCTGTATTTTTTGAATTTTCACATCGAAAAGTTAAAAATCGAAGTTTAGTTTACTCGCTTTAAATTAAGTTACATAAAAAAGATAAAAATGATGAAGTAAAATAAGATGGAAAGAATGCAGACATTCAGTGGAATTTCTTTTCCGTAGCTTTGCAGACCATTCGATAGAGAATTTAACGGCGGTCACGAATATCATAAACCCGCCTCCTCAAACCCTTTCCTCGCTGAGGTAATCGCAAAATACTGCCAGGGGCCCGAAAACCCGAAAAATGGCCGCTTCTAGAAAAGCTCTGCAGTTTCGTCAAGAAACATCGTAGAGCTTTGCGGTTTCGATATTCAGATTTAGCGCTAAAAGCTAAATCTGAAAATGTACCTTCCAAAGCTCCCGGACCAAAATTGGATTTTTGGCAAAGCCCGAAACCACGCCGTGTCGGGTTACACATATAAACTTTGCGAGGTTTTCACAGGTTTTTGGGAAAGTCGTAGGCCCAATATTTTGACATGGCCAGATGCGCCAGCCTGCGAGCTTCAAAACAACAGCGAGCTTTTTTCGAAATTCCTTTTCCTCGCTAAGTAAAATCGACTTTACTGGGAAAAATCAAAATTCTGATCCGAATTCGCAATTTTCTCCATCAGAACTCAACTTTCACCCAGTAAAAATATCATATTCGGAATCAGCGTCAAAAATCGAGTTCAATGATATATATTTCAAATTTTTTCGTTCATTTACATTTTAAAGGTAACCGTAATTTACCGTCGGTAACGGTAGAATATTTTTTTGCCGAAGTTTACAGTGGTAAAATTTTGAAGTTTATATATAGACAATGCATTTTTTCCCTTTTTCATGCATCCCCCAAACGAACGTACATACAAATATTCTTCTTCATTCGACTGCAATGAGTACTCTTTGTAGATAATTTTTATTATTATGTATTCATTATTTCGATCATATTTTCAACGCATGTCGCCGTCACTCGTATCATCTATAATCCGATCGCATTCATTGGTTCCTACATCTCATCCACCATTCAATTTTGTACCACCAAAATTCCCGGTCTCGCTTGAACAACACGGGCATTTACTTGTCGAATATATTTCGTCGATGTGTCTGGCATTTAATACTCAAGCAATGAGTTACATCATGACACTAGCCGATTCTCATCGAATTGATACGTTGACGATGCAACGTGAATTTCTCATTATCGATGCTGATCGACAACGTCAAATTAGTCTATTAACAAGTGGACTATTAAAAGCAACGAATCGATTCAATTTAAGAGGTGCTATTGCATTTATTCGTGAACGAATCAAAAATCGTTCATCTTCGTTTGCCATGAGCGCCAATGACGAATAAACACTGAACTGATAGTTGCGGAAAATTAAGATTTGACTAAGCTTAGATTATATGTGCTTGACATGAAAGAAAAGGTAGAATATTAGAAGAAATTCATCTTATACGAGCTTTCAACTGATTCACTCAGTTATTATCGGGCATAAAACAGTTTTAACAAGAAAAATAACCTTTTAAAGTTTGTTGAAACTTCTGTTCTTCATCAACTGTCTTCATCGGTATTTCATCGAAAAATATTATAACATCTTGTTTTACGATGAAGTCCATGCAGGATGCACTAGTTTTGAATGAATTTCATTCAAAGCACAGTGTCGGTTCCTATATATCAAAAATGTTTCTAGTCTCCCTTCTTCTTTGTTTTCTTTGAATCAAACGAAATTTTTGTTTTGGAAATTCAACATTTCGAAAAGAAAAATTCCACAAGTTGGTATGTGAACTGACGCTAAATGACTCATCCCTTCTATAAGAGATTATGCACTGTGAATATGTGTTAGGTAAAATGAAATTCATTGGATGAATCTGTTAAATTAAATAAAGTTTTTAATTAGAAAAGTTTTGTCATTTTTGTTTTTTTCTGGAAAGTAGTGGTTTTCGAGATAAGTCACTTTTGCCGAAATGGCGCCGCTACTGTGAAGTGTAAAATGCATTTATTTTGAAAACTACTGCTTTCCAGAAAAAAGTCCACAAATTTTCTAATTAAAAGCTTTATTTAATTTAATAGATTTGCCCAATGAATTTCATTTTACCTAAAATATATGCATCGTTAATGATTGCAGTTTTTAATCGTACAACCATCCGTCAGTCCCCACACTAAGTCGCTGGTTTGAGCCATAACGAATTACGCACCCATTATTATGAGGGTGAGGGTGAGTTATAACATGCGAGAAAGCCATGTTTTGTGTTTTCAATAAACAAGAGTAAAGTTTATTATGGATACAAAAAGATGATTTTGTGCAGAATTTGATGAGTAGTTTATTGGTGGAAACCGATTTTCGATATCTACTTCCGTTGTCGA